GAGGATCTTCTTGCTGCGTCCGGAAGAAGTATAGCAGTGGCAGCAGTAGAGCAGTGGTAGTCTGGGAATGCCAATAATGATGTTTTGATGTTGGTGATCATAATAGCAATAGTGTTATCATTGTAAGAAGAGTAAAAATAGTAGTAATAGTAATAATAAAGCTCAAATAGCTCCCAACAAACCAACCAACCTACCTACCTACCTACCTACCTACCTACCTACCAACCAACCAACCAACCAACCAACCAACCAACCAACTAACTAACTAACTAACTAACTAACCAACTAACTAACTAACTAACTAACTAACTAGCTAACTAACTAACTAGCTAACTAACTAACTAACTTACTAACTAACTAACTCATTGATCTGACGAAATGCACAAACGTATGTTATATGTACATCCAGTACACATATACATGTACATATACACGCACAGAAATAGATGCATCTACATACATAGGTATATATGCATACATACACAGACATTTTTTTTGTGGATGCAGAGGTACAGAGACTGGATTGCACACAAACGTCGCTGCTGCTCTCATGTGGGGAGCTGCGGCCTTCGGAGCTGCTCCTGGCTGCCTTGGCCAAGGTGGCAGGGAGACAGAGAGACGCTAATGTCTTTCATTGCATCAGCTGCTTGTAAGTATCTTGATGAATCTCTTCAAATCGGAGCCAACTCTAATTGATGTTCCGATTGATGTAGGCCTTCGCGGGAATAGCTGGTGGAGAACTTCCGCTGTGGGTAGACGTGGAGGGACACGGTCGTGGCGCAGAGCATGCGGACTTCGCGAACACAGTCGGCTGGTTCACAGAACTGAAGCCGCTCTGCCTGGAGGCGACTCGGGTCGAATCAACGTGTTACTTTGCAGAGACCGGCGCAGTGCATGGCAGTTCAGGTGTCCGAGTCGATGCCGGAAGCGCTCCTTGAAAACATCGAACGATGTAGAAGCACTTCCGCAGCTCGCGGCCACAACGTACAGCCCACGATTTCCTTCAACTACCATGGTCAGGCCCAGCTGTTTGGTGGTGCGCTCTTCCTTCCTGAAGTGAAAAAAGAACCAACACACCGCGACGGCAGGCAAGCAGCTGCCAGGGCGACTCGCAGCTTTTCAGCGTGGCTCCAGAGTGGAGGACCTTGTCAAAGCTGGACGTGGCACTGGAAAACCTTCGCGAGTACTTCCTGGAGATTGAGGCACGCTTGGCAGCTTGAAGTCCCGTCTTTTGGCACCAAAGAAGAAGTCTCAGGCCATGCTAGTGGCCGGTGAGAACGGGACATCGTTGGAGCTTGAATGGATATATCATCCCGACTTTGATACTGAGTGACTTGTCCTAGACCATCCAGATCCTAAGTCATGAGAAGATTGAGATCCTGCTGAGGCTAGTGGGCCGTTTTTTCGACCAGTTCGTGCGCCAAATTCCAGAGATTTGTGAGTGTGCAACGAAGCTTGCCTCTGGAAGGACAGGGCATGCCTTCTGCAAGAAGTGGTGAGTAAGTACCGTAATAAAGACAACAACAATAAGAAGAATAGCTAATTGTGTATGTATATACTTAGATCAGATTAGATTAGATTCGATTAGATTATACTGTACTATGTTGTTATATGTTTTTGGGCTTGGGGCTCGGGCCAGGAGACCGCCCTTGCCCAGCGACTTTCCCTCCCTTGGCGTCCTACCTGTGGCGGCGCTAAGTGAGTGGCTCAACGCTCTTGGGGACAGGCCCGAGTCTGGCTGCGATTTATGCTAATAGGATTACTTTTGGTACTAATGGTAACATTGGCATAATTGTAGTAATAGTGAGTGATACTAGTCATAATCGTAGGGTCAGCAAATAGACATAGTAGAAGTAGCAATACTAGTAGTAATAGCTCGTGAATTTTCTGCCCTTAGAGAGCTACTTTGCCGATTTGCTGGGATTGAACAGGATCTTTGAGGACGTCGAGAACGTGTATCCCTGCACGCCTCTACAAGAAGGGATGATGGCAGAAACCCTTTTGGATCCACGTGCGAATGTGGAACAGCTGCTTGCCTGCAGTTGCAGCTTTGTCTCCAGGCACGAGGTGTTCATCTCAGGCTTCCTTTACTGCTTCGTGGAGTGGATGCTGCTGCCTGGAAGAGGGCTTGGCAGACAACCGTGGGCCGGCACGAGGCACATGGTTGCCGCATTGCTCAGAAGCTGCGGGGACGAAGTCCTTCCTGACTCTGCGAGGCACTGCGGGCGACGATCGCTGCGGCTCCAGAGCCCTCTCAGGAGGGTCCTCGCTTTTGGCAGGCCGGGCTAAAAATTACACGGCCGTGGGGGCCGTGGGTCGTGGGGGCGGGGGGTTCAGGTCGCCTTCAAGGCCAACTCCGCAGCTGCCTCGGTGCATTGGCAGGACGGGACGGGACGGGGCTGGAAAGGTGAAGCAACGCACGGTGCTGCAGATGCTGCACAGTTGCAGAGGAGGGTGTTTGGGACCTGTGTGTGGAGATGGAGAGGCCGACGTGTGCGCGGAGAGGAATCGGCTGATCTGTTCAAAGCTTCGAGCTTCAGGTCCGGCAAGGATCCACAGGCGCTGCCCCCTCTAAGTCCTGACGAGGTCGGGCGGTTGGGGCGTGAACGGTAGGGCAGATAGGGGCTGAGACTGTTTCGCGACCGGAGGTCCCGAAGCTGCTGAGTGCCTAGGCTTGAACATGCAGAAGATCTGTGGGAACTCGTTTATCCTGCATGCTTGGCATGGGTGGGCCGCCCAGGCTTTCTGCGTGATTTCCTGCGAAACGACGCAGCGGCAGGGTTCACGAGTGGCGGACCTCTTCTGCGCTTCGCACTGTTCGAGGTCCCTTCCTCTCGCTCTCGCTCGCTCGCTCGCTCGCTCTCTGACTCTGGCGGATTTCGGACGCGAGTTTGGTCAGCTTTGTTGGTCGGTAAAGCCTTGATAGGTTCGACGCGGCAAGCAGCAGATTGAGGCCAGTGGCCCTTCCGTGTGGAAAGATCCCGCTAACCTGGGCCCAAGACTGAACTTTGCAAAGTTGAGGATGGCATCTTCGTTTTCGTCCGCACGGAGCACCATGCCATCTCTGATGGCTGGTCAAATCCGTTGCTGCTCCAAGATGCCCTGCATTTCTACGAAGGAGAAACGCAAAGAGATCTTCGACACTTTGTCTGGTTCCAGCCCCCAGGAGGCACTCGGCTGGCGCCGGCCGCGTCCTTGGCCTCCTTTGCCGCCTTCGTCCAACTGCGAAGCCAGGCTCGAGACGGTTTGGAGACTCTATCGCCTTCCCATGGACTCGAGTCCTTCGGTTTTCCCTTTTCCGATGCACCAATTTAGTCCTGCTCCGGAAGGGAACGCGACGAGAAGAGATGCGACGTTTCTGGCGTCAGCATCTTTGTGAGACAGGCCACCGAGAGCGGTGTCTCAGCAGTCGATGAGTGGGTCTAACTCCGAAGCAGGGAATGTGCAGCTCCGCTGACGCAGACAGGTAAGTCTAGTTTCTTGAGTACGCCGACAGAGCTGCCTGCAGTTCCGGCCCCGGCCCACCGCGACTTGCAGGAAGGGTAGTCAGGGCTGCATGGAGATGCAGATTGAGACAGGCTTTGACTTTGAGCTCGAAAGGAGTCTTTCAAACTACAGCTGCGCCGACAGCTTCACGGCTGGTCGAAGCATTCGGTCCAGGAGCCCCGGTTGCACTGCCCAGAACGACAGAACCTATATGCGGCGCCGATGGCATGTGCAGGCTTTCTCCGAAGAAGGTGCTACTTCCGCCGCGGTGCTTCACAGTGCATGGGCACTTTTACTGGCCACTTGACTATGAGAGCTTGGCCTAAACCCTAAACCCCAAGCGGTCGCTTTTTAGAAGCTTTGGAGGCACATCGCCAAATGGGCGACGTCTTTGGGGCCGTGCTGTCCGGACGCCAGGCTGCTGTCTCGGGCGTGGAAGGCCGGCCACTGTCTGTAGATCTTTGGCTTTCTGTAAACCACAAGAACATAATCTATGTATATCTCATACACACACACACATATACATATATGTAGCAAAAAGATATTATACTCTCTCTTTCATACATGTACAGACACATGTGTGTGTGTATTATGCTTATTGTACTATATAAAAGAATAGGTATGACAATATACCGTACCACATATTATCTCGTACACTCTGAGCACAACTTTTTCGGAATGTATAAATGTTTAACACTACGTGCCAATAGTTCCACGCTTTTGGACCTGTGAGGGATGGTGGGGCTCCTGATCTCGACGGTCCCTTTGCGCGCTCGCATTCCTATCGCCTCGAGCTGCAAAGGCCGGAATCGCCCTGCCCAAAAGATATGATTGAAGATGCTGACTGCTCAGATTTCGTGTTGGAGCTTCAGCAGCTGCTCTTGGATGTGACTGAGCACCAGCAGCTTGCTCAGATTCTTCAAGACCGGTTGAGTTGAGTGCTGTACCACAGCATTGTGCGTCTTGCGTAGCAACAGCAAACAACCTGTGAAGAGAGTGGCCAACCCTAGGTACTGCAACCTTGCATCGGCCCAAGCGAGAGCTCTGTCTCTTGGGAAAGAGCGACTTTGGTTTTCTCGAGGCCCACATTCGGGAATGGTGCGAGTTACCTGGCTCAGCCCGAGTGCCCCAAATGCAGAATTCGAGCTGCGAGGCTGCGTCCGACTGTGTAATTTGCGAGGATCTCTTCCAGACCACACTGGTTTACGAGAACTTCCCGATGGAGGGAGGTGGCCTGTCTTGGCTGGAGGCCGGTCTGCATTTCTTCGCAGTGGCCTTGAATCATCATGTTCCCTTGTTCGTGTTGGCGAGGCTCTGCATCCGTTCGATGAATCCATTCCGATCACTGGGGCGACGTTGCCCATGGTCGCCATGCTCATGCCGGCAGCAGGAGCTTTCGCCTGCTTTGAATGAGTCTATTGATGCATGTGTGCAGTTTCCGGTGCTGAGCTGTCCACATTTGCTCATGCAACGGCCGTTGGCGTAGGCGACGAGATGCAACTCACACTGCGCTTCGATGCTAGCCTGTACACGATGTCGGTGGCCGCGAGTCTAGGCTGCACTGAGCCGTAGACCCGACAAGCAACGAAAGACGTCGCCATAGCCATCACGGCTATAAGTGCCCCAAGGATCAAGCAACCCATGACAACAGCGGTAGCAGTGGGAGGAGCAGCAGCAGACACTTCGTTGTCGGCTTCGGCAGCAGTAACAGCAGCGCCCGCCTAGTTCTCCTGATCATTGTCAATTGTCGTCCTCCTTCTCATCTTCTTCTTTAGTCCTCATCTTCTTCGTCCACAATGCCTAACCTTATTACTCGGGGCGAGATCATTCTCAAAGTCCTCTTAATATCTACCATCATCACCGTCCTCCTCCTCCTCCTCCTCCTCGTTCTCGTCCTCTTCCTCTTCGTCTTCCTCTTCCTCTTCCTCTTCCTCTTCCTCTTCCTCTTCCTCTTCCACATCATCATCATCATCTTCATCATCCTCATCATCATCATCATCATCATCATCACCATGATCACCGTCCTCCTCCTCCTCCTCCTCCTCCTCCTCGTCCTCGTCCTCTTCCTCTTCCACATCATCTTCATCGTCGTCGTCATCGTCATCATCGTCATCCTCACCACAGCATCGCCAGCTTCTTCATACTCATCGCGCGTCGTCTCGCCGCGGCATGGATGTTGGCACCTACACGGCCACACATGCAGACACTCTCGCTCTCGCATCACGTTGCATCTTGCACCTGTGCTCTCGACGAACTTTTCAGTTAAACGGGTTTTGGATGCATCAAAAACCCTATTCCAGCCTGGGGCTGGTGCATCTCGGCAGAACCTCTGTTTTCACAAGCTCAGCTCCAAAGTTGGCAGATGAGTCTTTGACACCTCAGTATCGTCTTGCATGGGAAGAAGTAGACGTGCAGATCCCCGACTTCCGAGGGAGTGGGCGGCGGAGTTTGACATGATACTGAAGTGCATCCTTGAGAGGCAGTTGTCAGAGCGCGGGACATCTTTTGCTTGTGAAACCGTGTGGTGAGGCCCCGCATGACATGCGGTGAGCTCCTGGCAATGCTTCCGATCCTCAAGTCTGCAGGCTCGACAGAGCCTTGTCTTTGAGCTTCCAGATGCCGCGATACTGGAGGTTATGCAGACCCGTCTTTCCGACCTTCGCCTCAGCAAGGCCTGGTCGGGCCATTAGCAGGCTTAGCAAGCTTGGCAACTTTTCCGAGCACGGCAAGTGCCAGATGCTTGGATCTCTGCCTGGGCACCCCTCTTGGCATCACAGGCCGAAAGATGCCGTCGAAGTCAGGTTAGCACTCTTCTCGTTCAGAGCAACCCCGACATGCAATTTTCACTGGAGGCAGCAGTGTCGAGTTTACCCCACTGTTTGAAACCGGCGCGCGAGGCATCCGCACAAGTAATGGCAACTGCATGCTTTCAGTCAGTCGTACATCCTTGTGGGAGGCCTTGCACTCGCTTGCTGCCGCAGCCACAGAAGGGACCAGCCGAGCGGGGAATGCTGATTGATTGTGCCGATGTAGTTTCTGTTTTGAGATGCAAAGGCTTGTGCCTGAAATGTCAGCCGATCTCAAGATGCAATGTAGGGAATTAAGGTGTCAAGACGGCACCCAGAGCCTCTCGAATGAAGCGAGCGTTAACTTCACTGCCCTCAGATTTGAGTCCGCGACTACTGCAAGGAGTGCCATTGAGCATATGCCTCAGTGGGTGCGGACAGCACTGGGCAGCTCCGAGCCAATACACAGATGACTTCTATGCCACCCGCAAATTCTGCCGGAGAACAGAGAACTTCGACGTGTTCCTGAGCCACGATTGGGGGACGTCGCGATGGCTTAAGCTGTGCTCTCTGGCTGTGATGTTCAACGTCCGTGCTGCCTCGAACCTCAGATTCGATGGAGCCGCTTTAGACTTGCTTAGACATACCTCTTTCAACACAGTGCCCCTGACTCAAGGATTCTGTCCATAAGCGTCGGGATTACAGTGGGCCTCTTGCGTGCTTTTGGCGTCATACCCGACGAGAAATGGACCGAAGTCTTCCCACTCGCAGCCTTTTACTCGCTCCTTTTCTTCTGGCAGCACCTGCGTGAGCTCTTCTTGCGCCCCTTAGTCGTATTTCTGGATCGCCTGTGCATCGCGCAGCATGATGACAAGCTGAAGGAGCAAGGTGGGGGCCCGGGCCGGAGTGCGGGTCCATTTTATCATGGCCTGGCCTCGTATCACGTGCCACCTCCCAAAACCCAAAGACCTCTCAACACTTGAATCCCTCTAATGTCTAAAACCCTGCCAAAGCTCAGCTCTTTTTTCGTAGCGCCCTCTAGGGGCCCAAGCAAAAACCCATCGTTTGTTGGCGTTCTTGGCCTCGTAGGTATCCTGGGCCTCGCCGGATTTCTGGATCGTTCCAACATTTTGGCAGTCCTCTGGTCGCCGCGCTACTTCAAGAGCGCCTCGGCTGCATTTGGGATGTTTTGGGCCAAAGAATGAAGCAAAGGAGCCCTGACACTGGCTGTGAAACGCTGAGGAGCCTGGTGTACCTACGAGCTGGGAACGTTCCTGCGAGAGCCTGGCAAGGAGAAGTCCGTTCGCATCATGCCCGTGAAGCTGGCACCGACGCTCATCGCCTTCTGTGTCTGCTGGCAGATTATTGGCTTTGCAGCTGATACCGCCAGCGAGTACTTCAATGAGTCAGGTCCAAAAGAATGGCTGCTTGTTGGAGGGACGCTTCTTTTCATCATCTCCTGCGGTGCTCCGGTTTACATGTACATCGGGATGGGGTTGATTCGCGACTTGGTGGCAGCAGGAAAGCTTTGATGCTCTACTTGGCTTGTTTCCTTGACATGACCGAATCTGGCAGTTAACATTGCAATCCCAGCTAGTTTGAAGCGAGGTGACATCGAGGCCTTGCCAGAGAACCTGAACAACTTCAAAATCCAGGAAGCTGAGTGTTTCTGCTGTGCCAACAACCATCGCAATCCATGTACTGGCGATGAGCTTACGTGTGACCGGCGATTAATATTCCGGACGCTGAAGAAATGGTATGGCACTCCAGACGATGACACGGAGGCACACTTGGAGTTCTTCAATGACTTTGTTCGGTCCCGGCTTTCGCGCACGATCCGCCAAACCGTTGGGGGATACACGCTGCCGTTGAAGCAGTACCTTTACATCGCCCTTGGCGCGAATGCCCCTAACCTGGCAGACTACATCTCCAGAATCGGAGCAGGTCCATGTCCATCCGGTCAGGGCTGCGCTGAGGTACTTGCGTCTGATGTCGACCGTGTCGTTTGGGCGTGTAGGGGGCTGATCGGGTGGACGAGTGTCTCGTTGCAGATGCTCTTTGGCATTTGGGTTTCTATCGCAACTTGGAAGATGGGTGTGCGCTTGATGCGATACTGCAGTCGAGCGTGCTTGGCCCTCACCCTCCCGTATCTCGTCTTTCCGTGGGTTCTGGCAGTGGCTTGGTTGCCGATCCGCGTCGATGCCAGTCATCCCATTTCTTGGGCTGCTCACTATCACCTTATGTCTTTTTTCAGCAGGAGCCTCGCCGAAGATGATCGCTCCTGACATAGCCGTGAAAGAGATGCTCAAAAGCAAGTCCCTCAAGTCTGCCTGGGAAGCTCAGGATGTACAGAATGTGGCTCATGCCACAACCCAAGACACTTTTTAACTCAAGCAGTGCCCTTCAGCGTTTTTCACACTTCGGTGCAGCCTGCTACCAGTGCGCAGCAGGTTTTGCTTACTGATGTGGGGAGGTTTCAACAGGATGCGTGGGACTCTTCATGAAGCTTAGAACTTGAGCTTACGCCATGCTTCTTCAATCTGCGTGTGGGATGTGCATCCTGGATCCGTCCAGAGGTCCATGAGGGCTTTGAAGGCTACTGAGCTTTGATCTGTGGCGAGTTATCCCCTCCCAGTGCCCTGGAACCCCTCCGAAGAGCCAAATTAAGGACGAGACCGGGGCAGGGATGATATGGGAGCTGGTAGCAAGCGAGCTGCGTGGGCTCCACCTGAGTTTCAAGCATTGGACCGCTTCCAAGAAGACGCGATCCTTCAGCCCAAGGTTTGAAGCAATGGATTTGAAGAGGAACCGTCGAGATGTCGAATTTTCTCTGGCAGTGCCGACATTGCATGTGTGCTAGCTCTTGCTAGCTCTCTCGCTAGCGAAAAGAGCGCTTTGCAAGGTTTGAGAAGCTACATCAGTGCCGTAGCAGCCCGCATGTGGGTTGTGCGGACCAGTCGGGACAGGCGGCAGTTTAGTGGCAAGTTCTTTCTGCACAAACTCCCCCAAAGTTCGGATCGGCAGTGGCGCAGCTCAGGCAAAGCTCCAGTCGGACAAGTGCGAGCAAAGTCAGCAAGCCGCAAGAGGTTCTTAGGGGCCCGGTCATTGGATGTAAGCAGCTGGTCGGTCGCGGGCTGTTTTTACCAATTACAGGCATACGATCCGCTCGAGGCTTCTCCTGTCTGCGAGCTTGGGCGAATTCGCTGGGCCGACGGCTTTGTCATCTCGCTCAATGCCCAGCAGCCGCTTGGTGTTCATGCGGGAAACTATGCAGCGGGTGCAAACGACATGGTGGGGGAAGTCCAGGTTTCAGTTCTGGCCTTTCCGCCCTCGGCCGATGCGCCCCCGGTGCCCATCCACGTCAACTTCAAAGGCCAGACAAAGAACACATGCGTAGCACTTGCAGAATCTTGCATCGGTTGGGCCCGGGTGCCACAAGACGTTCAAGAAACGACTGCTTTATTGGCACAGCTTTCTTCTAAGCAGACAGTCATTTGTCAGAAACTCGTGTAGGGCTCTTGCACCGGACAGCAGGAACGGGTCAAATCAAAAGGGTGGGTCTGTTCGATGCAGAGTACTCAAAGGCATTACAGCATCCCGCAGCTGGTTTGATGAGGCCTCGACACTGTGTCTCTGGAGAATCCCCGGCCACCACCTGGAGTGCTGAGAGAACTGGCGGAGAGGTGGGGGGTTGTTTCAGGCATTTCTATGCGACAGCGGCGATCGGATAGGATAATTGTGCTGGAACGCCTCAGGCTGGCCAGCAGGACCGCCTCCACCGAAGCGGAAGTACCAGGAGGCGAGTGCTGTGGCACAGATGCACAGGTAAAGCGGATCCTGGGTAGGCATCCATCCGAGCAGGACTCTTGTGGGCTGCAGTCGGATGCGAGGATGTGCTGGAGTGCTTCGGCCCAAAAGACTCGGATGCTCAAACCGGGTTGCGGCTGGGCTGGGCAGAATCTGTGTTCGGTGAGTTGCAGCTTTTTGGTGCCGCTCAAGGCGGCTCGCAGCCTTGCAGCTGGAGCCCTGCTGCTGCATTGTCCTCTCCGGTGCCGAGGCTCGCCTTTAGATCCGGTGCCTGGGTTTTTTTACTAGAGCTTCAGCTTCAGCTTCAGGCGGAGTTGCGCTGTCGCCCGGGGCTGGGCATAGCAGAGCTGCTCAGAGACCTGGAGGAAGGCCCGTGCCCGCACGCCGTCCTTTCTTGCCTTCCGGTGAAGACGAGAGGCCTGGACGAGCATGTGCTGCCTCCTGCAATGCGCCAGCTTCTTGTGGAGGCCTGTGGTAGAAATGCAACGAAACAGCCGCCCATTCCTGGTTCGAAATCTGCCTTGACCTGGCTTGTTGCTTGCTAAAAGTTCAACAATTTTTGCAGTGCTGGCCAGGACTTCAATGCCACGGAACATGAATACAAGCCAGACCTCGTTCATAGACGATTCCTTCATCGTGCGAAGTCAGTGCCTGCTGGTCACTCTGCCTTGGTGCCTGGCTTAGCTGATGCCAAGCACGTGCTGCGCACGTGACCCAATCCCTTGAGCCGCCCTGGTTCGTTGATTTATTGGATGGAGGTGGAGGTGTCATCTGCGCATTTGTGTCATGACATTGAGTTCACGCGAAAAAGAGGAATGCTGCACTGTGCATTTCTGCAAAGGCAGGAGACCCAAAGGGCAGTCTTTGCGAGACTTGGGTGGGCTTGTTACAAAGCCCAGGAGGCTTTCCTCTGAGGCCCCAAACACCCAACACCCGGCTGTCTTGGTTTCAGACCTCACCAGGGCACGGGCTTGGGCTTCTTGCGAGGCTCAAGGAGAAACGTGAAGCATCTGATGCGCATGATGTTGACTTCTTACAGCAACTACCGGAAGACCAGACGCGCAGTTGGCCTTGCTGAAGCCACGCGGTCCATACTCCGGAGAAGGGGGAGAAGGGGGAGTGTCCCCACACTTGCTTCCGTTGTCTGAGCTTCGCCACTTCACGAGGGAGCAGGTGTGCCTTCACGCATCGGAAGTCTCAGGTGTCCCACGGTCCTGCGGGCGATGTCAATGCCACTAGCTACCAGGATCATCACGGTAGTGTTGAGTTGAGCACCTGCGCTTGCCTCCGCCGCCGCTTTTTCGAGGAGCTCGCAGAGAAGGCGGTGCAGGCTGCACGTTGGCTGCTGGAGCGCAAGATTTCGGGCCCCGTTGCTGTTTGGATGCCGCGCAGCGAGACGGCCGGGTCCCCGGCCGGCCTGCGAAGCGGTGACATCGGGTGACGCCAAGTAGAGCCCCGTCAGAGCCTTGTGTCATTTATTTATTTATTTTACTTCATTCTTGAAAGCCTTTCTGATCCCGCTTGCCGTGTGCAGGTTGTGGTGTCCGCTCTCGCGATTCTCTTGGTCGGGGGAGTGTATGTCCCTTGCGATGATCGCTTGCCGTGGCCACGTGTTCAGCATATGGTGGAAGATGCAGGGGTGATTCTGATTCTGGCAGGACCAATGGAACTTCTGTACGGGACGGGTCTTAAAGCTTGTGCAGCCGAAATTTCTGATCGACAGGACCGCAGCAGCTGCAGCTGATCCCATCCTCAATGCCCGCCGTTGATGGATCCCTTCTGTCGGAGCCCGGCCTGGATGAGTTCGAGGGGGGGGGGGGCGCTTTCAAGCATGCAAACAGAAGCTTGGCAGAGCTTGGCCAAGGAGCCGACTGAGCAGAACGCGCGCGAAGAAATGCTCCCTTCGTCCATCGACTGCGACGAGCTTGCGTACGTGATCTTCACATCGGGGTCGACAGGTCCGGTCCGGTAGGGTAGGTCTCAGCCCCGAATCCTTCTTACGGCCTCGTCTCCAGGAAAACCGAAAGGAGTCGCCGTGAGTCACCGCTCCATCGTGCATCTCATCGACTGGGTGCTCCTTGCCGGCAGCCAGACCACTGTCAAAGTTACTCGCAGTGCAAAGAGAGACTTTCATATAGGAACAGCACCTTCAATGTCACGCAGATGGACGCTTTGCTCTTCACCACCTCCATAGGATTCGACCTCTCGTGCTACGACATCTTCGGGTCTTTGTCAGCGGGAAGCACGATTCACTTTTGGAAGGGTTCCGCAGCATCTCCTGACCAGCTATTCGAAGTCGTGGTTTCAGAGAAGATCAGCTTCTGGGACTCCGCTCCGCAGGTCCTCCAGCAACTGGAGCCCAGGCTCGCAGAGGCCGAGGCAAAGGCCCCGCCGTTGAGGGATCTGCGCCTGGTCTTTCTCAGTGGAGACTGGGTGCCCATCTCCTTGGTCCAGACCCTGCACCGGGCCGGAGCATCCCAGGTGGTTGCGCTGGGGGGTGCCACAGAAGTTACGGTTTGGTCCAACTACTTCGAAGTACCACTGATAGATGCGGACTGGCCTTCCATTCCCTACGGCCGGCCCATCTGGAACCATCAGTATTATTGCCTGGGGCAATCCGGGCCCCTTCATGTCGGGACGACGGGTGAGCTCTATATTGGCGGTGTTGGAGTGGCCCAGGGCTACATAGGCCGGCCCGACTTGACTGCAGAGCGCTTCTTGACGAATTCCTTTCATTCTGGGCGGATGTATCGGACTGGCGATATGGTCCGTTTCATGCCCCTGAAGCCCTGGGGAGACCCGTCCCGGCTTCAGCACTTTACTACCAAAGACGTTGTCTTGGAGTTCCTCGGCCGTATCGACTCGCAGGTGAAAGTCCGCGGCTACCGTGTGGAATTGGCAGAGGTCGAGCTCGCTTTCTTGAAGCAGCCAGGTATCGAGGCCACAAGTGTCTTGGCCTTGCCATCCGGTGAGAACGCGGCTGGCTACTTGGCAGAATCTTTAGTGGTCTCTGAAAGCAACATTTGACAGGTGCTGCTGTTGCGTGCCGTAGCCGTTTTTGTTGAGATTTTCCGACGTGAAAGACCGTCTCGTGGGACATTCCGACCCAAGAGATCGACATGGCCAACGTGCAGGACTCGACCCTGTGTTCCGAGAAGATGGGAAGCGCTTCTCAGAGCACAGGCTCGCAGGTCGTGAGCAGGCTACTTCGAGATGTTGTACATGACCCAGCTGCGACAAATGCCATATTACGACCTCATATGTCATACAGCATGAAGAACCAGGGTCATCTTCAAGCGTTTGGCATGAGAAACGGAAACCAGGAGGCTGTCGAGAGCAAGAAGCAAGCAGCAAGAGTGTGAGCGGGTGTCCCAGGGGGGATCTCCAGAACAGAAAGACAATGTACGAAAATGCCACGGAAGGCAGCAAGGACTATTACGAGTCGAAGGCTCTCCTACGCGGAGGAACGGAAGTGGGTATGTACGGCCTCGAGCACCAAGCTGAAGTCTGATGAAGATGGGTGTCCCTGTGAGGCAAGCGTCGGCATGGCTCGCAGCCTCAAGACGCCAACCTCCGTGAAGCTGCGTCCGTCTGCAACCCGGAATGGCTTTTGGAGAGATGGATCAACTGGAAAACCGCCGCTTCGAGCTCGAGTGCCCGCATCACCTTATGGGGACCCAGATGCATTGCTGGCGCTCGAACGGACGCTTTCCTCATCCGGTTCATCGGGTTCGGCGAAAAGCGGCAGCGCTTGGAGCTTGGGATCGATCGGGCCCATGCGGGGAAGTTGTGATTTATGCTGCACTTTCCCATGCCTGACCATGCAGAAGGGTTGGGCCCTTATGCTGGGGCAGGCGGTTCTACACTTCTCAGGCTGAGAAGTGTAGAACTGCTCCCCCAGCATATGTCAGCTCATGTGCAGACGGCCTAACCACGGATTGCTCTGTAGTCTGTGCTGCCTCCGCTTCGTGGCGAGGAAAGGTACAACACCTGTCACTATGAATTCAAACGAATGCGTGCTACCTGTCTGCCTGGAGCCAGCCTCTTCAATGCCAAGACTGACTGACTCACTGACTAAGTCACACTGAAGTGTCGGCACACTGTTCTGCTCGCCAGTGCCCACGAGACATAGCGCATTGCTCTCATCTTGCGCGAGCGGACAGGCACGGTCAATCGCCGCAACAGCTGTTTTTTTGATGCGGGACGCAAATCCTGTCCCGTGCTTGTAGCCTGCATGTTTCATAGAACTGACCTGGACTGCGGCTGCCCAAGCGTCCATACGATGAGACTTTCCATGTGTCAGCAGATGCTGCGCGCTCCACAAGTTGAACTGGACAAAGAGTCGGCGTTGACAACGAGTTTGCTCTGGCTCGGCTCATCAGCGCTTGCCGCAACAATGTCAGCTATGCTGCTAGGGCCATGCTTAGCAAGCTCCGAGAAAGCATGAGCAAAGACTCCAGGGTTGGCTGCTTCGCTTACTGAAACGGCCGACCCTGGAACCTCTATGCTGTCGCGAAGCTTGGAGCAAGGAGTTCGAGAAGCTGGCAAAGGCCGAAGATCAGGGGAGCGAGGCGTCAACCAATGGCCTCCCCTGCGCAGTGCGCCGATTACGAGATTGGAAAGAGGCATCGCAATGCATCGCAAAGCTGCGCGCAGATGACAGATAGAAAGCTACACAAAGATCATGCGGCCAGTTTGCGGACTTCTCGGTTCCGGAGTCCTAAGATCCCCGCACCGCCAGAAGGGTTTGGAAGGAGGGCGTACGAAAAGGGCATCGACAAAGACGATATCGAGGCAGAGCCCTTTCACAGGTGCACGAATTTGCCCCGGTAGGAAGCGGAAACCGGAAGCATACTCCTCAGACTTCAGTGTCTTGAAAGGCTCCAGCTGGATCTTATGCTCACACGGATGAGGGTCTCCCTGCCGATGACAGACGTGATGTCGCACAAGTATATTCACGGGACGTAGATGACGGGATTGCAGGGACAATGGGATGAGTACTACATGTGCCCTGGTGAAGCTCCGAGATCGCCCTTGGCCATGCAAGTTAGAAAGTTGGACGGTGATCGAGAACCGGTTGCCAAGTCCCACCGTGAAGAAATCAGTGGACCATGGGCAGTCGGAAAAGGACTCCAATTAGTAAATGTGGGAAGTGGGGCAGCTCATGCAATTAAGGTTGGAAGACGCTGGTTGCCTTCGTCGTGGCGGAGGAAGAGGTGGCCGAGGCAGCCCGCCGCAGAACCGGCCAAGTTTTGCCCGCTTACATGGTCCCCGACGTGTGCGTCTGCCTCGACGCGCTGCCTTTGAGCCACAGCGGCAAGCCGGACAAGTCCAAGCTCCGATCGCTCTGGGAAGCCCGAAGCCGCCGGAGCACCGACGGAGTCCGCCAGGAGGAGGAGGGCAGCGACTGGGAGCGAGAGGTGGCGCAAGTCTTCCAGGAGGTCCTTGGCCACGCCGCGGGAGACTCAGTGAAGGCTCTAGGCGCTAGACGCTAGCAGCTCGATCGGACACACGACATTCGAGGTCGTGGTGAACAAAGTTTTGGCAGAACATGCTGCAAGCACTACGGCAGAAACGGTCCCAGAATATCAACGGCAGACTGCGATTGAAGTTAGTCCTCGTGAGTGAAGGACCATTTCACCAAAACGCTGCCGAAGTTTGTCGTAGCTGCTCTAGCTGATACTAAACCTAAACCGCAGAAGACCTCTTCGGAGCAATGCAACAAGGACTGTCCGCGCGGCAGAAGAACAGTGTTCGCTTGTCGTCGCCACCACACTCAGTGTCAAGACTGTCCAAGTGAGGCGCCTGTTGGAATCCACGAAGACTTCTTCCATCTCGGAGGCCACTCCCTGTCGGCCATGAAGCTGCAGGCAGCGCTGAACAAGTTGAAGTCCAAAGAGGCGGAGGTCACCTTGGCTGACGTCCTCCGCGCCCGCACCCCCAAGCTCCTCGCCCAAATGCTCCTCGATGCCGAAGCGAAGCTGAAGCAACGACAACAGGCGGGGCCCGTACCAATCTCACATAGCGGCAAGGCGGTAAGGGTACGCAGCGTGGCTGGAAGGTTTCGGCGCCGCCACAGCTGCAGCCAGTCAGGAGCAATCAGCCTCTTGCCTCCTTCGCGCAGGACGGGTCGGTTTTACCGTCTGGAATTAAGATTGCGCTTTTGAGAGAACCTCGAAGGAGAGGCTGTGGTTAGTCGACCAACTCTTCCCTGGGAGCACCTGAGCTGCACAGGCGGGGAGCCTTTGCAACACGCTTCGCGAAGCAGCTTGTCTGAGGTGCTGCCTACAACGTTCCTTTTGCCCTCCGCCTTTCAGCCCAGCGCACATCTCTCACCCTCGCTGGCCTACTTGCGGGCTTGGAGGCAGGAGGCCGCAGACTGCTTCAGGAGTGCAGGAGGGAGCGGTTTGGCAGGCCCTGGTCCGAAATCACTGCGTGCTGCGCACAGCGCTCGTTCAAGGCTGGTAGGTCTGATGCCTTTCCGAGGGTGCGAGAGTTTGCGACTGTACGTGCGACACAGGCGCCGGACAGAGTACGACATCGCTGGTTCAGAAGATCAACGACATGGTGTCTATTCACTTGCCTGATCCATTGTCAGCTCCAGCTTGCTTGCGCCTTGGACGATTTGGACGACGTGCAACGGAACTCAGATGAGGAAGCCGAAGTCGTTTCAGCATGCGCTTTTTTCGATACTTCTTCGTTGATCCCTGGTTTAGGCATCGGTTCATTAGTCTTGCCATTTGCACGGCCGGGTGCTCCTCAGCTGTGCATGGCTTAGGTGCAGCTGGCTTTGGTTCCATCCGCCTTCTAGCGACATCTGGTCAGAAGCTGCCGAGGGAGCTGCAGAGCTCATGCGTCTCGATGCCAGTCAAGGCACCCGTTCCAAAGTCGAGGGACAAAGGTTTTGCATTTTACGGGAAGAGATGCATTGAGCTTCCTTGCCCATGGCCTGGTAGTTCCAATTGCGGGCTTGGACGATGCCTCTTCTGCAAGACTTCCGGTACGTTTTTTGAGAGATGAGCTGCTGCCTTCAGGTTTTCAGCTTGATCACTGCCTCCTCCGAGTCCGTGTCTTCTGCATGCCAGAGGAAGGCAAGTCCAGCTTCTTACTGTGTCGAAGCTCAACCTTGCAGTGCCTATCCCCAGCCCATGCATGTTTTGGCTGCTCGCAACACAAGGTATTTCAATGTGCATCACGCGGCCTTTGATGCCCGGTCTCAGGCCAGATTACCGGGATCTCAGAATCTGTTGGTGTGGTCAGTCAGCACAAGCTCCCTGCAGCTGCGCAGGCTTTGCTTGAGAAGGAGTTGCTCGAGCTTCTCACCTCCGACACACCCTGCCCTGCACCATCACTGCACCTCGCCGAAGATGTCCTTTCACGGAACGCCGCGGCGCTTTTTTTTGCCATCCTGTGCAGGCAGTACTCAGACTATGCTGCGTGGCAGCGGGCTTTCTTGGCTGCCGGAGAGGAGCGGCGCTGCCTCGACATTTGGGCCTCGGAGCTCGCAGGACGGGCACGTAGACACAGAAGTTCATGGAGATGGAGAGGCAGAGAGACTGGCTCGCGCATCTCGTGCTCCAGGTGTTGGCCTCAGCCTTCGCCTGCCCTCTGATGCCCCGCTGCCTCGGAACGGCGAAGGCGGAGCTGGCGAGCTGGCCTTGGCCCCAGCGGCCCCAGCGCTTGGCGCACTCGGCTCGGGAGGGCCCCTTTCTCCAGCTCTCCTCTCTGAGGTCTCGGCGTGGCCGGCCGAGAGCGTCGCCGCCCTGCGCAAGGCCGCGGCGCAACTGGGAGCCTCCGAGATGGCCCTGCTGCCGCTTTGATTTGAGAGACTTAGAGTGAGGAGTTTGAATAGCGGAAGCGGAGGCAAGTAGCAGAACTAGCAACTCTGGGATATCACTTGGTCGAGTTGGTGGGCTTCCCGGGCACTAAGCAGTTAGGCTCTCGCTGTTTGGACTTGCGCTCGGATGCCGCTGTGGCCAGGACTCGGATCCAGACCTCCAGGGTTTTGGAAAGCCTTAAAACGTGTCGCGAGAAGCCGTGAAGGAGGAGCTGCTGGTGGGGATCCCGGAATCTGGTCGAAGCAAGACTCCTGAGCTGCAGAAGATCCTGGGCTTTTTCGTGTCCCTTGGCACAAAGAGGATCCACTTGCCAAAAGAAACGCGCAACGCGAGAGGAGAGGCTGCCTTGCAAGGAACACGCTGCCGATCCGCTTGCAGCTCTTTGGAGAGGCGCCCGAAGAGCAGAGCGCAGTGCTTGGACCGTTCATGGCCCTTCCTTCGGAAGTTTTCCGCAAGGCCTGCGGGGCCGATCGAGGCTACAGCTTCGGCCAGCTCGTGCAGAGGAGCCGGCCGCCGCCGCCGTCCGCTGGCAGTTGCAGACAGCGAAGAGGTTTTCGCTTTCGCTTGGAGCTTGTGGAGGACTCAGGGCCGCCTGCTCACGGCCCTGGATGCAGCTGCCCTTCCCTTTCAAAGACTCGTTGCAGAGCTGCGAAAGACGCGGGGAGAGGCGCATGTCCGCAGAGGCCGCGGAGCCTCCAACAGCTTTGCCAGCTTTCCGCAGGAGATGGATGTCCAGAGCAAGCGGAATCCCATCGTCCAAGCCTTCTTCCAGCATGTGATTCCAGGCCGCTGGGGTTTAGAGTTTGGTGGAATGTGCCGCTTGCCTTTGACACATTGTGACGAGCCAAGAGAACAGTTGTAAAAACGGCTGAGGCAAGACGTCTCGGAGTGTAGCCGCAGTGTAGCATTCCTGCGGAGTTCGAGTCTCTGCCGAGTCGTGGGAACGAGGTCAGTTTGCAGACGACTCATTGCGGGAGCTGGCGGGTCGGAAGGGCCTGCAGGTCGAAGACTTTGACTTCGGCCGGACTAAGACGACAGCCAAATTCGAAGTCAGTCTTCAGACATCAGCTTTGGCCAACGGCTGCAGTGTTCGATGGGAGTTCATGAGGGAAGTTCTGTCAAGAACTAGCATTGAGATCCTGGATCGCCACTTGTATGCCATGACGCAACGCTTGGCAGCAGCCGAATCGCCAGACAAAATGCTCACAGCTGAGCTTGGCCTGGCTCCACATGATGAGCGACAAGCCCTGCACTGCTGGGCCTCAAGCCAGGCACTGCCCCTCCCGGACCTGCGTGTGGAGGGGCTATTTCTGCAGCAAGCCATGCGCACTCCAAAGCAGAGGGCTCTTTCAACGGACGGGGTCAGCTTGTCCTATGAAGAATTGGCAAGGGCGGTTCGCGGATTGGCAAGATCGTTGAGCACAGCTCTGAAAGAGGCTCCCGGCCACGACCCGACTCATCAGACCGTCGTGGCCGTGTTTGCCAATCGATGTCAGGAACTCCCGATTGCTCTGCTGGCCGTGTTGTTGGCGGGGGCTTCATTTCTTCCTTTGGCACCGGAAAATCCCTTGGAACGGCTTTGTTTCATGGTGTCCCAGGCCAAGGCCGCGGCACTTCTTAGCACAAGGTCTCTTGCCGAGGCCGGGCTGAGGATCGTGAGCCAGACCGACCGCCGGATTCAGTTCCTCGAAGTTCCGGTCGTTGAGGACATCGACCAAACGGAGGAAGTTCCCATTTCACGTTCTGCAAAGTCAGCGACGGCTTATGTGCTCTTCACTTCGGGTTCGACTGGCAAGCCGAAGGGTGTCTTGCTTTCTCATCGGGCACTTCTCTCGCACCTCTTGCCCTACATTCGCACTCTAGGTCTGAAGGGGTCAGATCAAGTGCTGCTGACTAGCTCCTTCTCTTTTGATATGGCCTACTCGCAGATATTTGGTGCATTGCTCAGCGGAGCAACGTTGATGCTGACGAAGGAGAACCCCATGATGGATCCGTCCGAACTCTGGGGAATCATGAAAAGCAAGACTGTGACGTTCACAACAGTCGTGCCATCTGTCCTGTCAGCCATGGTCCACCTCACAACGGAGCCTTTGGCACTCCCAAGTCTTAGACATTTGGGCTGCGGTGGTGAAGCTCTGGCATCTGCTGCGAAGGAATACTACAGCCGCGCCCCGACATCCCGGGTGCTACTGCACAATCGCTACGGCCCAACCGAGTGTGCCATCAATGCTTTACTCTTTGGGCCCAGCCCTTTACAAGACATCGCGGGGGAAGATGTGCCGATCGGCTGGGCCTCCTCCCACCGGCACGTACATCTGAAGACCGAAGGAGAAGCCGAGCAAGACCTGTTGATGCTCGGGTTGGGTGGAGAACTCTTGCTGGCAGGTCCGGGCCTGGCACAGGGATATGTTGCGACACAGCTCACAGATCAAGCTTTCAGGGAGTCTTCTCGAGGTGCTGGGAAAAGCTACCACACCGGAGATCTAGTGGTGTACCGTGAGCACTCCAAAGACGGCCTTCGCGGCTGCCTCCGGCTGCTCGGCCTCTGCTGAGTGTGTGTGGTTACTGATTTCTGTATCGGACACGTAAAACCGAGAAACCTGCATAAGGCCTTAGAATGCAGCTGCTTGACCCCGAGGTTCTGTGGCCGAAAGGACTTGCAGGTGAAACTGCGGGGTCAGCGCGTGGAGCTGGCAGAGATCGAGCGTGTACTTTGTCGACACCCTTCTGTGGAAGCCTCTGCTGTGCTCGTGGTGCCGGCAGGGTCCGGAGGCCTCGCACAGAGCCACGAGAGCTGCATCCTTGTGGCGGTGGTGTCTGCGGAGAAGGAGAAATCCTCAAAGCTTCTGCCGGAGCTGCTGGAGATCTGTCGCACGAGTTTGCCTGGTTCCATGGTGCCTCAGCGGATTCTTTTCTGGCAGACCGCTGCATGGTCGCGCACGACTTCTGGCAAAGTAGACCGCCGTACCCTCGCTGCTTCGGTAGCTGCAGAGCTGAGAAAGGAGCGGGAAACCGGAGAGGACAAGGTTCCCGCTTCGCATGGGCAAGAAGAGGACCTACTAGCCATACTCAGGGAGGTCACTGGCAGGGCGCCGAGTTCACCTTGGCAGCCCCTGGAAAACTTGGGCTTAACGTCCCTCTCAGCTGTAAGGGTGGCCTCCATGGCACTTGACCGGCAGATCCAAGTTTCCGTTCGCCAGATGCTGTCGCCAGGGGCTTCCATTGCTCGGCTTCTCGAGGAGTCTGCGCGCCTGAAAGTGGAATCTTCCCACGCTGCAATCCAGCAAGTGGTGGCCCTCCTCATGGGCAGTGAGTCAATCTGTTGGAAGCCCTTGGCGCAGTCGGATGGTCCGGTGTGCGAGGTGTTGCTTTGCCCTGGGGATGGAGGTGCTGGGATCGATGGCTACCGTCCCCTGGCCCAGTCGCTGCTGGAGGCCCGGCTTCCGAAGGTGAGGCCAAGCCCAGGCCTCGGCACGTGACATGGTGTCCCTGCAGGGTGCGACAGCGGCAGTAAGTGCAGCGGACGGCTTGCTCAGCGCAGATTCTCAGCATGCCGAGCCGTGGACATTGCAATTAGTTATGATATGATTAGTTTGTGGACGCGTTCGACTTGTTCGGGTTCACCACAGTGTGCCTGCGGTCCGAGGAGAGCTTGGACGATCTGGCAGAAGTCTTGCGGCAGAGGCCCGGCGAGAAGCGGAGAGATGTTGCAGTTGACATCAGCAGAGCATTTCGAAGGTGCACCAGCGAAGACAGGGACCTGATTCTGTTGGGCCACTCCTGGGGTGCAACGCCGCTGAGGATGCAGAGAGGTAGTGAGGTAGTTGAGGTACTCGTATGAACAGGATAAGCCGTGACGACTTGATTTGTGCGCTGCTACGCTTTGGAGGCTGGCGCTGGTGCTGGCGCGTGGCCTCGTGGCTGCCGGAAGGGCCGTGAAGGCTGGCCGGGGCGTCATGGCATCCCGGCGTGTTGTTGCCCTCCACCCGCAGGCTGTTTGGCTGTTGGACCCCTCCGCAGAGCACCTGGCACCGGACTTGCCGACTCATCCCGTTGCAGAGGCCAGTAGAGTACTGAACTGATTTGGGTTCAGGAATGTTGAGTGTGGTCTCCACGTGCAGAGGAAGCTTTGAGCGACCTCCTGGCGATGATGCTGCGCTTGGTGTCTCAGGGCACTGCGGCAGCGTGGGGAGCTGCAAGACAAGTGCTGCAGGACCCTGCCATGTCCTGCAAGAGTTGTGCTCAGTTGACAGCCTGTGACACTGCTCCTAGCCAGCGCGCGAGGACGCGTACCATGCTGCCAGCATGCGCAACATGACCGATGTGGAGGAGGCCCCTCAGCCTTGGAAGATGCACTCGAGCATACAGCACCCGCGGTTTTTTGTTTGCTGTCTCAGGCTCTGGGTGGCAGTTGGCTGTGCGTGCAGCGTGCCACCACACGCAGGCCATCTGACGGGGCATGCAGAGGTTGCTTCTAGATCGAAAGCGTGCTGCAGTGCAGAGCCACACCATGTGACGTGTCAGGTCTCGCAACCTGGGCTTGCAGCCACTCTCTTTGGGTCCTCTGCCCGTGCCTATCCATGTGATGCTGGCAAGAAGGGAAGGCGAGAGCAGCGCGGATGGCATGCGACGGCGTGAAGATGCTGGGCTGACAAGAGCATAGCATCGTTGTAAGAGTTTGTTGCACGAATCTGCAGTGCCTGATGCTGGTTTTAGCAAAGCTCATGTTCAAGCGCAAGTTCGATTTGGAAGTTTTCGACTTGTGCAGGAAGTCGAGGATCGACTTGGGCAAATATCCGCAGAAGTTTCGGTTGCGTGGGCGTGCGGCAGTCACCATTCAATGATTGAGAATCTTGTCTGCAGGAAAGGTTAGATGATCTCCGCTCTGCTCTATTCCTTTCAAGCAAGGCCTGCCAATTGCGCTTCTTTGGTGACTGGCCTGCTTCAGTCCACAGACTTCCTGTGTGGGACTTGATTCAGCTGTGACAGAGGCAGGGCTGCTGGAGGGGCTTTTGCCGCTACTGATTTTTGGATCAACCGTGACATCGTAATCGCGATCCTGGCGAACTGGGTGTTGACACGTGGCTGGTGGCTTGCCAATCAATCTGCAGAGGACCTCTCGCAAGACTTCCACGGCATGATTGCTTCGTCGGGTCAGCCGTCGACAAGCGTGCAAGTTCTGAAATCGAATGGCGAGCTGGCGAGCCGCTACAACCACAAGACTACCTTATCGGTGGGCAAGATGATTGGTCAGGGTAGACGCGCCTTGATTGACCTCATGGTGTGTACGCGCTTGAGACGAATCATCACTGGTGAATAAATGCTGGTGAGACCGCCAAAGACTGCGGTTGAGCCAAATCGTTTGACATGGGTGCGCCCCAGGATACTGCGAAACTTTGAGCCATGTCCTTGCCGCGCTTTGCACCGTATGAGGAGTGTGCAAGGGGGTATGCTACCCGAATGTCACTGCATGCTGGCGAGCTTCCCTCTCTTGGCCTTCATCTGGGATCCTATGATCTCCTGGCCCGCTGTTTTCACCTCTCACTCCGGAAACTTCAACCTCAGGCCCGTCTCCGGACGCGCGACATTTCGGCTCCATCCATCAGCTCGCAGACGAGCAAAACGTAGCAGGACCTAAACGGTAAAGGCATGACGTGACTTACATGAGACACGTAGGACATAGATATGTCATGCCATATCTTCACAGTAGCAAGGTTTCATGCACGCATCCGAAACGTTCTCAAACCCGTGAATCCTTCTGCGCAAACCCTCGTAGCTGTTTGGTTCGGGGTTTAGGGTGTCAGGTCTTTGGCGGTGCGGGCATGCATGGGCAAAAGAGGACCGAACAAAACTTTCTGCGCCGTCCGCTTGTTCCTTGCACACGTGACGTAAAAGATCGATGAATCAGGATTCAGGTTGTAGGTGTTCTGTTTCAGAGTTGCGGGATCACGTGTTTCATGATGGCCCTAAGCTATAGATCCTGCATCGAAACACTAATTTGGAGTAGGAACGATTGGCGAAGCCTCCGATGCTGTTCCCTGCACGAATCCGTCCTGGGCATGTCCCAACATTTGAAAAGGTGGTCCAGGGTTTAGGGTTTGGTGTTGTTCTACGGCCCTCCACCTGCCAAACCTTTCGCAGCAATTCGCGGAATTTGGAGTCTCCAATCTTATCCAGAATCCGTGCCTGGAATGTTGGAACCAAGATGGTCGTAGTCTGGCAACTTGCAAGCTTTGGATCATCTGGCAAGTTGAAACCCGCCGGGGTGCATCTGCACCTCGACGTCCTCGACCGGACCCCTGACAAAAAGCAGAGTCGCACACATTTCGGATGCCTTGGTCTAGTTTCAACGGCGCCAAAGCCCACGAAGCAAAGGAGGAGAGAGAAGCTCGACCGCTCCGAGAGGGCTGGGACCTTAGAGATGGCCTCGAAGAAACTCCCGAGCGCTGCGGCCGCAGCGCTTCGGAGGTCGCCATAGCCCCCAAGAGCCCTCTGGGAGCGGCTGAAGCGAAGCTCAGGTGGAGCGGCGGCGAGGGCGACTTTGCAGAGTGTCTCTCGAGTCATGTCTGTGACCTCTTCGGTGCAAGCAGCAAGGAGAAGCGTCAGCTTGTGGCTTTTGGGATTGGGGTTGGTCTAGCGGACGCTGTTTGTGGTTTGCTAACGTAGTTGCGGCGTGCATTGCAATTTAATGGGTTTGCGGCATGGCTGGTGGTTTTCACTTGTCATGGGTGCTTCAGCAGATGGCACCTAATGCTCGCCGCTTGGAGGAGGAAGCCTCGGCGCGGGAGGCCGAACTAAAGGCGTCCCAACCACGGGCAGGCGTTTGCCCGGTGCAATGGGGCGAGCAGGACAGCGGCGGTGCAGTGCAAGCCGCAGACATGTGCAGATGTTTATATGGCAGGACGTCGCATTTCGGTGCCTGGACTGTGCCGCTTGACTCCAACTCGCAATCGTCAGTGCTGCAAAGGTGGGTGGGCATTCACTTCACGCCTCAGGAGCTGGACAGCAATTGCATTCAGTGCTGCGATTGTTTCTTTAAGGCCAGGCGAAGTGTGTTGCAGGGTTAGACCCGCACGCTGCTGCGGGAATTTGGCAATGTGTCTGCCAGGCTCAGCATGAAGGACACGAGGTGGGCAAACAAACACGGACCCGACTAATGGCATTCAAATTTTCACTCAGTTCGACTTGGCAGCGAGGTGGCAGTGATTCGGACCGTAGGCGGAAGCTGCGACTGCCTTGTGCTTGGCTATTGAAGCGTGCAAGCTACAGTGCGGTGGCATGAGCAAGCTCTGCGTGTGCTAGTTGTGCAGGTGGCGATCCCTCGTCGTGGTCACCGGCAGGCTCAGAATGTGAGAATGAAATTCGGGTCGATTTCGAGCACAGAATCCATTTGGGTGAGGAATTTGGGTGGGTTTTCGAGTTCGGAATTTGGTCTAAGACCTTAAGGGCAGGGAAATTGAAATCTGCCGAGATAAACCGACTACAACTTTCTGCATGCCTGCAGGCTTCTGCCCAGAGCACTGCGAGACTCCGGAAAGGCAGGACGGGCGGAGTTTTGGAGAGTGGAGGCAAGGTCCCTCTGGGTCGGATTGGCCCGAGCAGGCTCGACAATGCGGAGTCGCTGGACCTTTTGCCTCCTGCGCTGCGCGCACGTGCCGAGGTTCGCGGTGCGGGAGGGCTAGCGAACAGTGCCAATCCGAAGTCAAGGGTCATCTAGCTTGTATATCTTGGTGCTATGCAGCACCATCGGCAAACGCATGATCCCGGACCCATCCTAGACTCCGCTTGGCCACACATTGTGTTTCTTTTGCGATTGGGCAATGCAGTTTCCGTTTTTGAATTCTGCTCTTGTTCGAAAAGGTCTTGATTCCAGAGCTGATGTCGCAGGCTCGCTGCACCTCGCTTCCTGCATGTTGCCGGTGCCTTCCGTACAAGCAGTGGGAAGTGGAGATAGTGTTGAAATCGACAATGGAGGCTGACCAAAGACTGAAGCCGCGGCATGGGTTTCTGCGTAGCGAGGTGCAAGCCTCACAGGGCCCAAGGGCAGGTGCGGTGAGTGGGAGCCATGTAAAATTTGCATCATCATGCTTCCTTGACAGTAGCCCATCCCCTTGCCAATGTGTTCCCAAGACCAAAGCAGCTGTGGTGATCATCAGGCCGTGGCAGACCGGCGTGCCCGTGAGGAGCAGGCCAACATTGAGATTCTGTGCTGTTCTTGCGCTGAGACGCACGTAACGTTGCAGCGCTATTGGGGTCATGTTTCCTCGGCGTGCAGCAAGCGTTGATGAGTTGCTTCATGCGAGCGCCAAAGCCGAGCAAGCCACAACAAGGCCGGCAAGCTTCAGCTCGCATTGTTCAATTATCATTCCTGTCTTCATCTTTACAGGCACATAAGTAAAGTCGATTAATCGGTGACCCGAATGCAGGCTTTTGCGCTGTTCGCGCTTCTCCGACGACTGGGTGAGGCCGTGAAGGAATGTGCACACCCTATACGAGCTGTGGGGCGCTGTCGGCGAGGTTGCTTTTGGTCTCCGCTACTTGGTGGTTCAAGAGCTTCAAGGCGTTGCCTGCCATGAGTCGTCACTCCTGCATGTCGGCGTGGACAGGCGAACGTTTGGTGAACTGGATGAAGGCGGCCGTGGACGATTCTTCATATACCGAGGCCGGTTGTCGGAGTGAGTGAGCGGCTTGACAAAGGAATTGGGTTGTTGGAGGAGTTAGAGCGCTTCTTCCTGCTCTACGTGCAGGCGAACATCCGCAGAGCCTTTCTGACACCGCATTCTCGCTGCGTACTTTGTCTTAGGTGTCTCCATCCTTCAAGCGGAGCTTTGCAAAGACCTTCATCCGCCAATACGAGCACATTCTGCAGGCTCCCGAACAAAGCTTAGGCTCTCATATCACACGAGGAAGTGTCTGTCGCGCACTATTGTTTCAGTTGAAGCAAGCTTTGAAGGGCAGCAAAATCAGCTGCAATGGGGAAGTGCAAGGAAATACTGTTGCGGAGTGCCATGCGCGCACCTTCAGCGTAAGGCTCCAGCTTGGCGCTTCAATGCGCCTCACATCCTGAAACAGATCCGGTAAACGGCTGAAGCTGCAGCTTCCAGGACACTCCTCGCCTGGACTCTCTTGGAGTTCAGTTTTTCACCATCCCCGAGGTGTGCCTAGCATTGGACGGAGGGGTCTCTCGCCCTGTGGCCCGGAGCACCTGTGCCTTGCATCAGGTGGCACTGGAGCTTGTCGCAAAGGAGGCCCCAGCTCAGCCCAGCTCCACAACCGGGTGCTTCTAAACCTGGATGAAAGGATGCTTTCGGCGCCCTTCTATCAGCAGCAAACAGGCCACTGTCGGCTGCATGATGGCTTGCGAAGGGAGAGAGTAAGTCCGAGATGATCCAAATTTGCGTGGAAAGGTATCTAAGCCTCGTCGTGGACCACGAGGATCAGCATATCGTCTTCAAAGATCCGGATCCTTTGCGGCTCGTTTGAAGCCTGCCCGCCACAATCCCTCTCCTTCATTAAAGTTCTGGGGCCGTCGGCACAGGCAAGCAACTTGGGAACAGCTGCGAAGTGTGTTTCGCACGGTGGGGTATGTCCTCTTCCACAAGTCCGTCTGTGAGCAACTTGGTCTCATTGGTTCCTGTTCATAGAGATGTTCGTTGCCATGTAGGGGCGGTTTACAACTTGTATCAAATGTCCGCAGACTGTGATGGCAGGCATGTCCTCAAGACACCATCCGTGTTGGAAGCCATAGCAGAGGACGGTGTTCAGAGACCAGGTTTTGAGGTGCTTGTTTTGTTTTCTCATGTGCTCCGACATGCTGAGATTGAGATGCGCTCTTACTGCCTCCGGGATGAGTTTGATGAAGTTTGGATGGACAACACACAGCTAGCCTCATGTCGAGCACTACGCTCTTGGCCAGGTACTACAACGCCTCTGGCGTATGTCTCTGCAGCACAGGGCCACGGGGGAACATGTTCTCTATGAGTCGCGCCACCTCCAGATGCAGGCTGGCAAAGCAACTGATCGTGTCTATGTCGTGTCCGACGGTATTCGACCTCTGACATAGTTGAAGATCCTCTAATCGAAGTGACGCTCACTCACTCCACAAAAGCATTTCGAGCCAACACACTGACAAGGATGAACAAGATCAACAAGATGTTTTGTCGGGTTTCCTTCGTGACGCACCTGACTTCACTTGCCGCGGTCTCAAGGCCCAAAGATGCCTAGATATCATGTTGACCAGCGCGAGCGCTTAGCAACTCTGCTGTCCCCGTGGCTGCACAGCCATGGGATATGACTGAGCAAGAGCACCCGGAGGACCGTCGAGCAAGCTGTTCACCTTGGTTTCCCTCAGGATTGCAACCTTCGTTGCCTGTTGCTATGTAAACTGCACCATATCCTTCTACTAGCATGTACCATCTTGTACCTTCTCCAGACCTCTCGATTCCAGCCAATTGCACAAAAGCGGCCTAAGACCTTCTGAGCTCACATTGATACGTAGTGGCAAACAGCGGCGACTTACGATGCTCAAAAACTTCATTGGTGCCCGAAAGCCTCACTATAGCGACACAAAGCTTCATTGTCCTTGTGATGTTGAAGCTTGTATTGGAAGCCCGAGCCCTGCGAAGCCATAATATGGGCGTCGAAACTCAGCAGGGAGCCTGAGAGCCCTAGGGGCCCCGAGCCGGCCCCAGCCTAGCCCTTGGAGGAACTCCGGCTCGTTGCCCGGAGCCTCACCACGCTCCCGGATTTGCGAGGCGCCTGCAAGCCTGACCATAGCTATGTCCTGTTTGGAGTTGAAGCTTTCGAAGGCTTCAGCCACGTCACCATCTTGGATGCATCAGACAATCGTCACTGAGCACAAGATGCTACATGTGTTGGACGCCATGTCATGTACAACGTTACCACGTCACAAGCACGCGCTGTGCGTGTCGCTTCGCCAAGGCCTGGTCTCCGTGGCCCGGCTCAGCGCCCAAATGCCCGCTCTGCGGCGGCTCCGCTTGGCGCGGAACCGGCTGCGGCGCCGGGAGCTCAAAGGGCTCTGGGCGGCTCTGGGCCTTGGGCCTTCGGTGCTTCTGGCGCCTGCCATGCGAGGCGTTGAGCGCTTGGGGGATCTGCCGAAGCTCCAGCTGCTGGACGTTTCGGAGAACCTGCTCGGGCCCACGCCTGGGGCTGCACCTGATCGGGAGATATCTGGAGTCTAAGTCCACTGTAGGGAGTCTTCATGAAAGTATGAAGACGAGAGTCTACACTCGAGAGACGAAGCGAGGCACTTCACATGATCGGCAACTGCTCCGAGTTGCGAGCCATCTTCGTGGCAGGGAATCCCTTTGTAGAGATCGCGGCCGCTCGGACTTGCATGCAGAGCCACGTGGGCCCGGCAGCCGGGCTCTTGGGAAACCCAGGAAGATCTCCGAGCATACCGGTACCAGCTGCTGGACCTGGTCCCCTCACTGCGGTTCATCGACGGCGAGGACAGCAGTGACTCAGCTCTAAGAAAGGTTGCTTTGACCCTGAACGGAGGCCGTTGGCAAAGCCAGGCCTGGTGTGGAGCTGAGCACAGCACCAGAAGCTTTCGAGCTGCACACGAAGTATTACCATCCCACGGAAGCCGGGTGGCAACAGTCCGTTGATCTCAGCGTGCTGTTTCCGAAAATCTTTTCGCACACAACCGAGGAGAGTGTGATGCAATGGCTGCCCGGACAAAAGTTCTGGCGAGACATGATCCGACTCCGGCTCTGTAGCTTCGCCCGACTGCGGTTCGTAAGGATGGTGAAATGGCCGACTTCCCCCTTGCCCGTGGCGGGATCCCACACCTTCGGGACCGGAGGTCCGCCTGTGTTAGTGTCGTTGACGGTCAGACAGTCAGGCATTACAATTGCGACTCAGGGGTAATGACAGCCCATCTCCAAAATTTTTGTTGGTGGGAAGTCAAATTGCTTGGTAGAGCTTTATAGCGGTTCATCCCCTCGCGTCGACGTGTTTCTGCCTGTGTGCTTCTGTTGACAGGTGCTACCGCTACCTATGCCTTTGCAGAGAAGCGGCGGACGACTAGTGACATGCTTAGAGTTTATTGCGACATTCCGTTCATCGAGGCCTGAAAGAAACGGGGAAGCATCTTTGAAGCCTTCGAGCGCCTTCTTGCTAAGGCTTACCTCGAGCTGGGCGCCTCGCACGTAGCGCCTCCGAGGGCGCCCTCGTGACCAAGCGGCCGAAGGCCGCACTGCGCGGACCTCTGCCTACGCCGTGGAAAGCTGATTGAAATCTGTGTGTATGCAGATGTATGCAGTGTTTCTTTCGTGTCCTGGCTCCTTCCAGCCTCCCAGGTCCCCAACCCCAACGCTGCCAAAGAGCCTGTGCCGCTCCGCGTCAGCCGCTGCGCTGCGTGAGAAGACATGGCCCAGGGAGCAGACAAAAAGTGCAGAGCGTGCGGTTCTTCATGTCCCGGGCTTTTGTAGGTGTGGAGAGCTTTCGTCTCTGGCAGCGTGAACTGCTGGCTTCTTCGCAGGTCTTCCTCCTGGAGTCCGAAATCCTGCGCCAGTTCTCTGCCCTCTGCGATTTCTGCAGACGGCCGCAAGCCACTTTGGAGGACGCGCAGGGCTGTCGGAGCGAGAGGCCTTCAAGCAGCAAATCGCATCTCAGGAGCTTCAGCCCCTCTATGCCTGGCTGGTGGCATCCTTGCAAGACTCCAGGGGCTTCAGCAGCCGCTGGGATCAAACAGCGGGTTGCCAATACATTGCCATGCTTGCTACCACATGAGTTCCCATGGTGCTATAGCCAGCGCCTGATGCCCAGCTTCCTTCAACGATGTCACGGCGGCGTCCTTCCACATGCCAGCGCTGAGGTGCCGGGGAGCGGGCTGTGCAAAGTGTACCGATCTGCTCGTGAAAGTATGTTGCAAGCCGAGCTGGCACCCCTCGAGCGAGCAAAGAGCTGTCTTGTCTTGAAGCCGCTCAAGATCAGGCTTCTTAGGTGGAGCTCCTCCCGTTGTAGGCAGATGAGCCATATGTGCACGTTGTCAAACAAAGCACTGGCAGCTGACGTGCTGCACAGCTGCTTTGGGCAAGGCGATTTCAAGGTGGTGGTAGAGGAGGTGTTCGAGGATGGTACCAAACGCACAGAGTTTCCGGTGTGGTCTCTCTTGTTGAGAAAGTGGTCAGATGTCTTTGCCAACATGATGAGCCATCAGCAGTTCATCGAAGGGTCCAATGCTGAAGTGGTCATCAAGGATTTCTCCGCCTGCGCAGTGGATGCCTTCCTGCGCTTCCTCTACTCTGGGACCCTTTCAGCCAACCTCTCGACATTGATCGAGGTCGGAGTCATCGCAGACAAATACCAGGTTCAGCCCCTCTACAAAGCTTGTATGGGCACTGTAAAGGAGAAGCTCGCTTCGGAGACAGCCTGTGAGATCTTTGAATGCGCTGACCGCTTCCATCTCGAGGAGCCAAGGAAGCTCAGAGGAACTGAGCCAGAAGCCCGAAGCGATCAATAGGTCCACGTACATGTGTATATGTCTGTCTATGATCCATGTATATGTACGTGTAAACATATGCGCATGTGCACATGCATCTTCATATGTGTATGCATACATATATGCATCAGCATATGATGGATGAATGCATCTATGTCTGCTTGTCGCGCCATGCATGTATACAGGTATACACATTCAGATATACAGGTCCAGGAGTAAGATTGCAGGAGCTCCGGCGAAAGGCCAAGGAGGAGATCCTCATCGAGCCGCGGGATGCCCTGCCCCGGCGCTCCTCCCTCAGTGGCTCGGAGGACCATGGATAAGGGCTTCCAGTGATGCTACTGGCTTCTTGTGGCTTGAGGGCTTGGAGCTTGAGAGGTGAAGAGAAGTCCAGCTCACTGGGTTGACCTCGGGTTTCGGGTTTCGGGCGATCAGCTTTCAAAAAGGATGACGCTTGGCTGCTTCCTCGCCCAGCGTGGGCACCAGGTTGAGAGCCAATCCCTCCATGGGTGGAGAATAAGGTAGGCCCAGCGAACCGTGCCAAGATGACTAGTCATACAGATTCATACAGTCCATGGTGTTTGTACAGCACGTGAACCTCCAGTGGGCGCTGGACTCTCGTGTTTTGTAAGCGTCTAGTCCCTGGCTGCAGTCGTGTCCGAGGAGATGGAATTGGTACAGCTAGGCCCGCTCTTGGCCCCTTCTTTCCCCTAGCCTGGTCGTAGACATTTGTAGGCTTTGGGGGCTTCAAGGTGTAGTGTGTTAGCGGTCCTTGCGGAGTTGCAGGATTTAGTCCCAGGTTGAGGATTCTGTGGTTGTCGGGTTCTGAGTCCCGCAGCTCCAGGGGCTCAGAGTGTGCTCGGGGTGTTGGGATTTCGGGTTTTAGGGTTTTAGGTTTGTGGTCTCGAAGTTGCTGGTTTCTTCTGGTCCTGGGTTTTAAGGATTTGAGGGCTCCTGTCACTGTCGGGAAAAGGGTTGAGCTTTCCGTAACCTTCGGGCTTGGGACTTCGGGGCTTTGGGGTTCCGGGGCTTTCGAGGCTTTCAGGTTTCATCGAGATTCGACCTGGGAGCGGTTCGCTTTTGGCCGCTGGTGACGCGACCACTCGGGATGCGATTTTCGGAGTTAGGGTTTGGGGAGGGAGGAGGCGCAGCTTTGAGGGATGGAGTCGAATGGAAGTCCAGGTTCTAAGCTGCTGGACGAAGTGCTCAGCAGCGAGTTGCTGTGCATCGAGGAGAGGCTTCTGAGCTTGTGAGCCCTTCAAGACCACTCGGGAGATGGACAGCAAGACAACCACAGATTCAGATGCTCTTCCTGTCGAGTTTGATAGGCTGGCGACTAATGATGCATGCCCTTGCGCTTGCTAGGGTGGTGTCACTGTGGTCGTTGTGTCTGCTACTGTCTATTGTCACTGCTTGGGTTGCATCTCGCCCTTGGCAGCTTTTACTTGTAGCACAGATGGTAGGTCAAAGCTCCTGGAAGGAGTGGGAGCTCTTGGAGCTGTTTTTGGAGTGGGGATCGGCAGAAGACTTGGATGCCGCGCTGCAGCTCATTGCCAAGCACGTAGACCTTCGAGGCATACCGGAAGATGCATCTCGCCAAGAAAGGGGACCAGACAAGTCATCTTGCTCGAAGTTTCATGTGACTCATGTGGCTTCAGACTTGCAACACCGGGTCTTTCCGAAGGAAGGTGAAGGCGTGTTGCTCTGGGGGGACGGTTTTAGCTGACGTAGAGTGGGAGGGTGGGTGGTTTGTGCCGCGTTTGCGAAGCCTCTTAAAGCCGCTGCTGTCTCAGGACTTTCAGCAGCTCTGTGCCGATTCCCGTACGCGAGGCCAGAAAGCCGTGCTTCTTCGCATGCGCGAGAAGCAGCCGCAAGAGCAACGCTTCAAACGCAGTCAGCATTGCACAGATATGCTGTCTGCGCTCTACTTGCGCCACATCGAAGAAGGTCACGAGAGACTACCTTTTTTGGGGTACTGGGTGAACGTCATCCCGGGAGACTTAAGCCAAGAGTGGTTGAACAGCGGCATTGAGCATATGCAGCATATCGCGAGGAATGGCTCTTTCCTCAATCTGGAAGATGGCTGGATTGTCTGGTTCCTCCCACACACACCTTTTTATCTGCTTGGGTTTAGCTTCGAGACATTTATGCCTACGGATGTACACTTCGAGTTATCATGCTCGCGCGACGGCAAGGACTGGCATGTTGCAATGGTTTCAGAAGGGGGGATACCGGCAGGAGACCTGACTCCAAGCAACTACTACCCCCACATGGTGCAGTGGATCAAGCTAAAGGTGACGCATGGCCTTTTTCATAACGACTTGCAGATCCACGGCATCGTCCGCTCCTAATGCGATTGGAGCTTTTGAGCTTCGCCTCGACAGCGACATTCCGTCCCTCGGTGCTGTGCAGCCAAGAACGTCTACCCACTGAGCATCTGCTTGAGCCTCCGACGGCTTGTCGCCGGAAACGTCCTCGCGAACGATGCAGACGACCAGGCCGCGGACTCCTGGCAGCTGCACGGACAACGAGCGGGTGTGATCACGGGAAAAAAGCTGGCATGTTTCGAGTTCAGGGCAGGAGGGTTCTGCGCAATTCCTAACACGCACCCAAGCAGAGTACCGGGGCCCTTCAGCAGCCACGGGCCCTTTGGTCTTAAGCCTCTCCACTCCCCGACTTTCAGGCTACTCACGCTCAGCTTGAACTTCGAGCTGCTTCTGGATCCGAGCGGGCCTTCTCAGAAGTGGCAGCGACGGGTGATTGTGGGAGCTGGTACCAGATACCATAGATACCTAGAGTCCTAGAGTCTCAGGGTTTCAGCCAGCGGCAGTGACCTTGTCTGGCTGATGGAACTGCAGGCCTGGCGGACAGCTGGCGAAGGATCTTCCCTCGGGAGTTTCTTGCGGGAGCCTTGAGCAGACCTCCGCAGCGCAGCGAGTAGCTTCCTGTTTCAAGCTGCTCACATCCGATCGCCACGTAGTCCCGTCGCAGCAGACTCGACAGATCAGAGAGTTTGGAAGATTTGAGGTGGCGGGCATGACCCACACCGTGAGGACACTGCGCTTCGAGGCCTGGGATAGGGCTACTACATCACTATAACGCAACATTTGCTGAGACAAGACTCGTTCTGGCCTTTGGGAGGCAGATCTCTTTGCCGACTGTCATGGTTGAACTTGTAGTTTCAGAATCGCAGGGAATCGTGCGGAAATGAAGCTATAGCCGCTGGATGTTTCTGTTGCGTCTTGTTGCGAAGGCAGAGATCCGTGCAGGCTTGTGGGTCCGGAATGGCGAGTCCATGCGTGCGCAGCATGTTTCCATCTTATGGTGCCAATGTTCTTGATGCCCGTGCAATTGTTTTTGGAGTTGCGTGTACAGTCAGCTGAGAACCTGCAATGGCTTGGGATGCTTCACCGAGGTTGATTATCGGACCAAGACCCGACAGACCGACATCATGACGCTTCAGGACACATCGGTGCAAGTGACGGGACACATGTCTTTCACGGGAGTGTCCGTCTTCATAGTGTGTTCAGTTGATGTCTGTTGATGCCAGGCCTTCATGATTCTCTTGCGCATGCACGGAAGCGAGGATTCTTGGACATAACTGTGCTCAAGCTTTGTTTCCAGCCCAAGCAAGCCTGAGAGCCAACACAGATTTGCAGGATGCAGCCTGCGAGCCCCTGGCCTTCCTCTGGACTGGCACAACACTGACACACTCGACACCGACCTGTCCAGTGCTCCGGCCGCCCCCTTTCAGGAGGGCTGTCTTCGATGATGCCACTGTGGCAGAGGCCCCGCTACCCACACAGGTCCGTGACCAGCTGCATTGTGATGTAAGTACGGGAGATGTTTTGCTTCTTTTCGGGCATTCGGTTTGCAGGCATCATCTGTGCGGATCGCATGGCAGAGGCTGCGACATGCGAAGCGAAGTTGGAAGCAATGCCAAAAGCTTGCGAAATTCGAGTTGAATCGGACACACAAGTTCGATTCTGGGCAATCGAAGAGGCTATGGGTTCAGAGCCACGTCAGCGAGCAGACTAGGCCAGTTGACTGTGCATCTGCAGAAGCTGTGAATCGCCGAAGCCTCTATGAATTGATCTAGGCTCGGTGTAGCTGACAGGACGCGCTTTCGCTTGTTCTGGCTGCTCCTCTGCCAAGTGCTGAACGAGATGTTTCCCATCGAGGCGAGAGCTCACAAAAAGCGCAGCTCTGCGCCCTAAACCCTAAACCCTAAACCCTAATCCCTAAACCCTAAACTCCAAAAGCCCAAAAGCCCCAAACCCCAAAAACCCTAAACCCTTTTTGGCGCAGGTGGCGATGTGCCGACGCGCCTGGGAGCCGAGGCCGGTGCTTCGGCGGAAGGGAGGAGAAAATGTAGGACAAACAGCTGCGGCAGTGTGCGGGTTGCGCTTGGTGCGAGCACTTCCCTTCGCAGTTTGCTCAGCTCAGATCTCTTGGTGTTATAGCTTTTTCGGCTCATGCCAGGTACTCTTATCGATGCCCAGTGATCTTGCAGAGGTTCCTGATTCAGGCCTGGCCCTCTGCAAGCACTGCGCCGGCGTTTTAGGGCAGCTGTGTGCTCTGGAGGTCTTGGCTTCCGGGCCAATGTCGCTGTCGGAGCTCGCCAACCTGCTCCCCAAGGAGCCGCCCCGACGCCGCGCCGGACAGTCTGCACCGCGAGTGCTTTCAGGAGCTCCAGGTGCGAGAGTCGCAGCTGGCCCAGGCGGCGGAGGCGGTGGCTTCGCCGGGGCGCCCAGACCTTCGGACACCGTCCCGACACCTCAATCTGGCACCATAAGATAGCAGATCACTCAGACATCTTCAGTCTGAAGGCTCACACTGTCACACATAGTCTTTGGTGCTGCCGTCACGAAGCCGCTCTTAGAGAAGGGCGGTTACACGTACCGAAGAAGACATAGTGCCAGCGTCTGCTAGTGTAGCGGATTCTTGCCTTTTTGGTGGACGCTGCTTTCGTCGCAACGGCAGGACACGGGTTGGCATGGCGGAGGGCGATGCGGCTCTCACAAACACGGGTCTGCAACCTGGCTCTGGTACAATGTTGTTTCTGCACTTCCGATCATGGCTCCGTGGAAATGGCTCGATCGATTCAGCTACTGATTTAACACCATTGCCGGGTTGACTTCCTGACAGGCAAGCGAACCTACGTGCTAAAGCAGAGAAGCTGGCAGCATTTCGACATCTGCACGGCGTTGCTGGCAATGTTGGATCTTTGGAAGATGGGCGCTTATGAGTTGCAGAACATGGAACCTAGCCAGGCAGAGGCTATGCCCATCCGAAATTTGCGAGATGGGACATGGCGTGCCTGGCCCCCGGCACGGCAGAATCCGTTTCTGGGGTGACCCTCAAGACTCAGGCTTTTGCTGGCTCCTCCGAAACCGAAACAGCTAGGGCAGCTAGGGTTCTCAGGATATTCAACGCCTTGATAAGTGTTTGGCTAAGGAGCGACAGCACCGGGCAGAAGAGAAGGCTTTGGCACAGCAGGCTCTGTCCTGACGGGGTGCTGTCATGATCTCTCCGGAGGCTACTTTACAATTTGGTACGATGCAGTTGCTTTGACAACGAAGACATGCGCAGTTTTGTGTTGTTGTCATGGCTTGCCGCCTCTCTTCCGGACTGGCTGAACGCCTAAACAAATTTGGGGAAGCTTTCGTGTCCTAGCAGATGAAGCTCCTCTGCATATGCATCGGCTCGCAGCGTGCATTTAACATGCAAAGCCACAGGAAGAAAGGTGATTGATTTGGTAGCCACCTTGAGTTCCAGTGCAAGCCGTGCAAGCCGGCAAAAAGAGGTACCATCTTCCATACAAGGCAGTAGTAGATGCAACTCTGCCCGCTGCTCCAGATGCCGCGGTTTGACCCTCAGCATTCTCTCAGTGATGTCGCGCTCTAAAACTGTTCGTAGTCGGAAGCAAGATCTCCACAATGCTGTGTGGCTGCAAATACAGTTGGATGTTCTGAGGTGAAGCTTTGGTGTTACAACAATAGTGTTGCGTGGCCGACCTCGCTCATAGCTTCATCAGGCGTTGAAGCTGGCAAAGTTGCAGACAGGCATGAGCTTGAAACCGAAAGAGAGGCTTAAAGCAACGATGTTGCTGCCCTAGAAGCTCGTTACAAGCATGGTTCCAGCACAGCTACACAGCGCAGCAGTTCCTTCGCCGGTTGCATTCCCAAACCCGACTCGCCAAAAACCACTGCAACTACATGCGTAACGGCCCTAAAGCCTGAAACCCCGTCAGAAGTCCAAGAGCACTAAACTCTCGCCGTGGAGCCATGTCCGGCGCTGCGGCGAAGGCCGTGCTATTGCGCCTTCGATGCATGGGGCAAACGGGGCTTGGGTGCAGCCCTAGCTTCGGGTCCGCCTTTGTAGGGTTTAAGCTTGCCAAGACTTTCTGTGGTTGTATCTGCCAGGATTTCGAGCCTATGGACATATGTGACATATCAAATGTTGGTGCTGACTGTTACATGGGGGTCTCCGAAAATAGGGGACCCTAATATAGCACCCTGAGTAGCAGGATCCTTATTATAAGGACCCCAAATAAGGTACCCCTTATTTTCGGAAACTCCTACATGCTAGCTGTCTCAATGTCCCAGGCTTTCGGCCATGGCTAGCAGCGAGACCTGTCCCAAGCCTGGTCATTTCCAAACTTGCCAAACGGAGCCTTGCCGGGTGGTCAGCTTTGGTTCGTGAGCCCTAGCTCTTTAGGGTTTAAGGTTTAGGGCTTGCAGTTTGAGGTCTAAGATTTCTGTCATAAATGTAGGCTTTAGGATTTAGGGTTTCAGAGTCAAGGGGATGGGCTTTTGGGCTTTAAAGATTTCGGATTTGGGTGTCTTCATTGGCCCATTGGCCTAACCCCTATCGGGGGTGAGAGGCGATGTCCGGGTGAAGGGGGAAGTTCGGCTTCGTAAGAAGTGCAAGACCCTCTAAAACTTCACTACACTCTTCTGGTTCCTGGCAGACACAAACGGGGTTTGGAGAAAGAGAAAGATGTCGCAGCTCATGGTTGGCATGATGGCTGGGACGCTAATTGGGGCTCTTCGCCACAGAAACACTAGACACCGGGATGGTGGCCGCCCATGCGCAGACCCTACTACTCCATGTCGGTCAGTGAGTCCTAGAGAAGAACGGAAGCCGCCCTTCCCAATGCTTGTATTTATCATAAAAAGGTTCTGAATGATGGGTAAGAACTAATCCTTAGGGTTCTTTGTTATGGTTTTACTTTTCACGTAGCTCAAACTCAAACCTCGGCCCTATTCTTTTCAGTGTGTACAGGATCCTACCGTTTACTGCTTCCCAGGGTATGTGCGTCCCGCGGACATTCAGTTCTGGCTTTCTACCTCCTTGCTAGACACTCCGGGGACTTAGTGAAGGACTGTAGAGGTGCTAAGACTTTAATTGACAAGTTTGTTGCTTCGGTTCACCTTATGTCTCACGCCCCATGTAGCCTATACTTCAAAGCTTGGCAGGAATATGAGTTCATTATGATTTGGGGTTCCTCTTTATTGCTATAGTCACAAACCCTGTTCTAATTTCAGTCGTTGGCTCCGTTTGTAGCTGTAGTATACAGTATAGTATACCTCAAGCCTTATTCTAATCTCGGTTCTTCTTTTGATCCGAAGCTCAAAACCCTAAACTCTATTCTGATCTCATGAAGCCCTAAACCCTAAACCCGAAACCCTAAACCCTAAACACTAAACCCTCATCGCTGCGTTTAAAGCGAGGACGTGGAGCTTGGTCAGGGGGTCGTTTCCAAGCTGCCTCCCCGGCCTGCAGCCAGCTGCTCCGCACATGGCCTCTGTGCAGAGGCACCACAAGGTTTAGTTTAGGGTTTAGGGTTTAGGGTTTAGGGTTCAGGGTTTAGGGTTTAGGGTTTAGGGTTTAGGTTTTAGGATTTTTTTGACATTTTCGGAATCAGAGGTTTGGAGTTTAGGGTTTAGGGTGCAGCATTTAGGGTCTATCGAGGTTGTAGGGTTTAGTGTTTAACATGGAGGGGCAAGGGGTGCCGCGGGTGAGTCGTGTGACGCGCGCAACCATCGCACACGCATGAAGGCTGGCCTGACGTCCGGAGACTGTTGCCTCTCAACGTGCACTAAGTAGGCAGTTGCCAGTGGTTCTCCTTGACCCACTTGTGGCTAACGGCCCGAGACGAGAAACTATGCTCTTAGAGTCTTGCGACTGTTAGCTCTAGCTTTCCACACTGATGGGGTGACAAAACGGGGTTTGAGTCTGAGTGGTGTGGTCTGGAGAGCCGTTCCCGAGGTCCAACGGCAGGGGATGGCATCTATCTGAAGTGCTGCGATGCTCAAGCTGGCTCCCGGAGGCTTTCGCCCCTACAAATGGGCAGAAAAGGTGTAACGCCACTCGTTTGCAAAGCAACACTTTCTGACACCGGCCCCTTTGCATTGGGCTGATCCAACATCCAGGATCGATGACACCACGCTTCAGTGGCGGCTTGACTGTGTTCAGATGAAGATGACAGAAGTACCCAACAAAAGTCTTAGTTTCCCAGGTGTGCCGGTCGCATTCCTCAGAGCTGGCCCAATCTTCAGGCGTTTGGTTCGCTTTCCGTGCGGGGTTGCTCTGGTCGAACCGTTCTTGGGCAGGACACTCCGGTGGGGTCATTGAGAATATTCCAAACGTGGTCGACGCAGTGGCACAGCGAAGGCATCTGCCGGGATCGCTGAGACGTCTGCATTTCCAGAGCTGCCCCAGGCAGCCATGCTTGGCAGTGCGACTGATACGGGAGTTTTAGGCCGGCGTGCTGCCTGGACAGATCTTGTCGATTATGCGCCGCTTGGGAGCAATTCACTCAGTTGCGAAAAGTCACGGCGGCATTTCGACTGTCTCCCCTTCAGTCACGCAGACCCTGGGAACACAGCAACAGTGCTTCCTGATCCTGGTGTCAATCAGCCGTTGTTCTCCATGTGCCTGGGCTTGCGACTTCACTCATGCGCTTGGGCTTAGGAAAGCCAACGGCCGGGCTCTCGGCTGTTGGACTTGTTGTGCCTCGTGGTCGTTGTGTCCTACGGGTACTGCAATTGCCAGACCAAGCTGCTGGTCTTGACGTGCTCGGGCTGTGTGCTGCCTAGGTATTAAAATCCTGGTTGGCACGCCGGTGACCTGCATCGAAGCGGAGGACGACACCGCTTGGAGTTGCTTGCAGAGAGCAAAGGCAGTAAAGGGATTGCAGCGTTGCTGCTGCAACTTCACAAGTCCGTAGCCGTTCTGGCGGTTGGGAACTACAGTTATGCCAGTCTGTGGAATGCCGATGAAGCTCCGGACACCCTTGACCAGTAAACACACGCGGAATGCATCCACGAGCTCTCGTCTAAGGTTGGAGCAAGGAGTTGTTGAGCATGCTTGGCCCAGAGCATGCCACTCGGCGTGTGACCTTCGACTCCCAATTATTTGACAACTCCAAAAACATAAACTTAATCTGTTATGAGCGAAAGACATGTCCGTTGTTGAAGGAGCTGCGACAGCTTCTTGTCTACTCTGCTTGCATGGCAATGGAGATCATAGGCCATTTCAACAGCCTCGTGTGGTTCTGGAGGTGATGGGACTTGCCGTCGGGAATGAGCTGGAGCTTCTGTATCAAAACGCTGCTCTGATGCAAAGGAGCCAGAGATGCGTTCAGGCGTTGGCACGGAGAGAACGCGAATCAAAGAAACTTTGCCTTGTCTCTTCCTGCATGAGACGCCCCAGGCTGATTCAGAATGCATCCAACGGCTATGGTCGGGTGGTCGGCTGTGGAAAACGTTCCAGTCGCGCGTAACAGAGTTCGCTCCTAGCCAGCATTGAGTTGCTCGGCCTGATCCCCAGATAGCAGCAACACTGAAACTTGAAGAACAACCTTCTTCCCCTGGCTTGTACGTGCGAAGAAGTTGTGCTCAGCCCAGGACAACTTGGGATTCTTGGTTCAATTCATTGGGCGTGAGACCTTGCTTGTCAGCATCACTATGGTCAATGCTTCTGGAATCTGTGCAACAAAGGTTTCTCGAGCGTTCCAGTTCTAGCCTCAGTGACGATGGCGTTGAGCAGTGGCGGTTTTGTTCATGGTAGCCTGAGAACAGGTGACATCGGTCTTCACTGCCAGCGTGCTCTCGGGCTCCTGGTCACAGATTCGGAGGATTTCGGATCCATGGCACACAGGTTACCGACAAGCCAGCGCTACACGTGAGGCAGTCCTGTCGTGCCGTTCACAGAGAAGCCTTCGCAAGCATTGGCGAACACCTTTCTCAGAAATGCCTACCGGAAGCAGCTTGTCTTCCAGTGAAAGTCTGTGTGCCGGCCGTGAAAGAGCGCTGCATGTAGCTGTCAGGTACGGCAAGCGCTACGCCTTCACCTTCAATGCACTTGGGTGTGTATTAAGATCTCGGGAATGGGTCTCAGCTGCAGGTGCTGCGAGTGATGTGACTGTGGCACTTTTTGGTCAGGTTTACCCATATTTCGATGGGGCCATCCACTTGAATCCTGGCACGGTG